TTCCATGAAGATGGGGGGAATTGAACACGAGGAACTTCAGCTGTGGAATAAGGTGTCCATAGGCATTAAGGAAAGTGGTAGAAAACAACCACCCAGTGTAGCTCGGTTTAGTGAACCGAGGCACATCATGCTGCATATTTGTATTGCACGTTTCAGTGTACATCGTGTTTCACTTCCTGTATCTCGTTGGACCCTTAAGCTTGCCACATGATATGGCTGCGGGGTTCAGGCACTGGCGGGGGGGTTCGGGCACAGAGGGAGGGTTCAGGCACGGAGAAAGGGCCTCGGAAGGCTTGGGGAGGAGAGGGGCAGGAACTGTTGTGTGTTGATGGGGTATTGTTTGCATTGGTTGATGATCTCTGAACAACCAAGAAGTACATAACGATCTACCTAACCGGACGTGCTAAGTAATTTCACTTTGGGGATGATTCTCCAGGGAGGCAATCCATTGATAGAGAAGTGAAAAGCATCGAGATGTGTCTAGTAGTTGTAGGAAGTCTGGGGTGCTTTCCTGATGGGGTGCCCTCAGCTGGAAATAGCCTCTCTCCTTCCTTTGACCTGTCCTGTGGCTATTTGCAGATATTTTGTTCCTCGTACCAGATTGTAAGCTCTTTGAGGCTGGATTTCTGCCTTTCGTCCATTCATTCATTCACTCATTCTTCTATTCATGCATTCACTGATTCCACAAGTTGTTGTTGCCTATTATATGTACTAGAGATTGTACCAGGCAGATGGGCATATCTAGATAAACAAAAAACATGATCCTTTCTCTTCTGGAGCTAGCAATCTACTGGCCGCAGAGATAATAGCAAAAAAGTAAATATAAAATGGTAAAAATAGAAATTTCGAATGGAGAACAGTCCCATGAGGAAAATAGGTAAGATATGGAGGGAGAGAATAAGCCAGAAGGTGATGGGACGAGGCAGCTGGCACAGCCCCAGGCCCAGGAATTCAACAAGCATCTAGTGAGTGGACCCAGCACATGAGAGGACAGTGCCAAGCAAAGAAGTCAAACGTCTACTGGGCTGGGCATGGCCAGGTTGCCCATGCTGTGTTGGATGTCCTCCTGCTGGTATAATTATTTTAAAATAACAGGACAAGGAAGGGCGCCGTGGCTCATGCCTGCGATCCCAGCAATTTGGGAGGCTGAGGTGGGTGGATCACCGGAGGTCTGGAGTTGGAGACAAGCCTGGCCAACATGGTGAAACTCTGTCTCTTCCAAAAATACAAAAATTAGCTGAGCCTGGTCATGCATGTCTGGAATTCCAACAACTTGGGAGACTGAGGCAGGAGAATTGCCTGAACCCAGCAGGCGGAGGTTGCAGTGAGCCAAGAGAGCAGTCACTGCACTCCAGCCTGGTTCCCAATAGACCCGGCAGGCCCTACAGGTCATGTTCCCAACCTGCTGCTTGCTCCATATTACCACCCTCCTCCCCATGACATTATAGAAGGACACCTAGTCAGACAAAATGATGCAACTTAATTTTATTAGGACACATCTGGTGGGCACTGGAGTGGCACCTTCCACGGCCAGGAGTGGCAATCAGGAGGGGTCACAGGATGCCACCCAGGCATCTAGAAGCCACAGCTGCCCTCCACAGAGCGGCACTGCACGATGCGCAGGAATGTCTCGACCTTGTCCATGTCCTTCCTGAAGCAATAGAGCAGCCCGTAGTTCTTGAGCAGTGCATCATTGTTGTGTGAGTTTGTGTCAAACTTGCTGTAGGTCTGCTTGAAGATCTGTCCAGTCCGGGAGCTGCCGTCTTCCAGCCTCTGCAAAGTGAAGGAAGAGAAGGAGAGGCCGAGAGCGCTTGGTCACTGTTCCCTCCCTCTCTCATTCATTCATTTTCCTCCCTCCCCTTCAGGGTGTAGAGAAAGGCCTGGAGGATTCACCAGGGGAAATGAAGACTAAGGTGAGTTCTCTTGGGTCAGGGCCTGACTGCTAAAAAGAGGGCAGCAGTGTTTCTCTCCCCCAGCCCTTGAAGCCAGTGGGGTTCCAGGATTGGGGACCCCTGGCAGCACCCTCACCCCCATCAGTGTTTGGATGCCTTCCTCTAGGTCCTTTAGGAGGTCATAGACGTCGCTGTCCGAGGTGCCATACACCAGGCTGTTGGCAAACACACTCCTGAGGAACTGCACGGGCTCCAGCCAGGACTGGATGAGCAGCAGGGAGATGCGGAGCAGCTCTAGGTTCTGCAGGGGAAGGACACGCAGTGGCTGTGCTGCCCAGGGCCTCTGACCACAGGCCTCCCCCATCCCCGTCTTGGGGAGAAGGCATCCACTCACGGATTTCTGCTGCGTTTCCTCCCTGTTGGAGGGTGTCGGAATAGACTCTGAGAAGCAGAGGGAGGTCTGGGGGTTCTGCAGGAATGAATACTTCTGTTCCTTTGGGATATAGGCTTCTTCCTAGGAGAAGGACCACCCACCAAGATCTACGCTGGAGACCAGCTCCCATTGTTACTTTTCTGGGAACCTCACTCAGCGTATGCTCATCTGCCTGCCTTTTCGCTTCAGAAAACAACCTGAACTCCTTAGTCTCCTCCCCTTACTTTCCAGCGAGGGAAGTCACCCCTTCCTGCCACCTGTGATGTGCTCCCATTCCCCAAGAGCTTACAAACTCCTGGTAGGTGTCAAAGGCCAGCTGGTGCAGGCGATGGGCGCGGAGCATAGCGTTGTCAAAAAGCCTGGATAAGGGAATGGTTGGGAAGGCACTGCCCTCTTGAAGCCAGGGCAGGCAGAGCAGGGCAAAAGCCAGGAGCAGGGATGTCCGGGAGCCTGGGGAGAAACCGGAGGGCAACAGACGGAGCCGGAGAGCAAGAGGCCAGTGCTCTCCCTGCCCCAGGAGTTGTTTGTTTTTCTCTCTCCATCCCTCCAGGGACCAGGAACATTCTGAGATTGACCAAATATCTGGGCTTAGATGGCGATACTCACATTCAGAAGCCCCAAACCTGAGGGTTAGTGCCCCCGTCCCATCTACAGGGTGCCACCTCTCCCCTCGGGACACATCATGCGGAAAGGGATTTTAGGGGCGCTTACCTGCAGCCATTGCAGCTAGGTGGGCTGTCCACAGGACCCTGAGTGGTTCGGGGAGTTGGGCCTTGGGATCCTGGAGCTGGTCTCTTGTGGGCCCTTTTTATACCCTGGCCCCTTATCTCTCGCTGCTTGCCCCCACCTGTTTCTCTGTACATTTATGCATGGGGCTACTGACGTGCCTGTGCTAATGGATAATTTAGAAGCTCCTCCCACACATGCTGGGATCATGCCCCCTGGCTTGTCATGTTTCCCTTCCCACCGTCACCAGCATTGTGAGGGTTGTGCACAGAGTGTCAGCCAGCGATACCACCCAACCTGTCCTTTCCTTAAGGAGCAGATGGGTGTCCTCTGGCAGCACGCCATGGTGGCCAACCTGAACGCAGGGAAGGATGTCATGATAGCCAGTCCTTGAGACCCCTACTGACCCCATCCCACTCTCTATCCTATCCCTTTCCTCCTCCCCACATGTCTCCCCTCCACCCAGCAGAGAGAATGTG